ATGCCGAGGAAACTGGAGCGAAATAACAGACGGCGTCCAGTCTACTGGTGGAACGAGGCACTTAGTACTCTCCGCGCTAGTTGTCTCAGAGCCAGAAGACGTGTTCAGAGAGCAAGAACGGAAGCAGACAGAGAGGAACGAAGAGAAGTGTTTCGAGCGGCCAGGGCCGCTTTTAAACGAGTGATTAAGCAGAGCAAGTCGAACTGTTTTAAGGAGCTGTGTCAAGACGCTGATGCCAACCCCTGGGGCGACGCATACCGAGTCGTGATGGCGAAGATCAGAGGTCCAACGATGCCCGCTGAAATGTGCCCAGAGAAGCTGAAAGTCATCGTGGAAGGACTTTTCCCGAAGCACGACCCAACAACCTGGCCACCTACACCGTACGGAGAAAGAGAGGGAGATAACGTCGAAATCACCAACGAGGAGCTCGTAGTAGTGGCGAAAGGATTGAAGGTGAAGAAAGCTCCCGGTCCGGATGGAATCCCCAACGTAGCGTTGAAAGCGGCGATCCAGTCATCCCCGGACATGTTCAGGATGGTGCTGCAGAAATGCCTGAACGAGGGTCACTTCCCTGACAGGTGGAAGATACAGAAGCTAGTGTTGCTGCCGAAACCAGGAAAACCGCCGGGGGATCCAGCATCATACAGGCCTATATGCCTGCTGGATACACTCGGAAAACTCTTGGAGAGGATCATCCTAAACAGGCTGACGAAATACACGGAGAGTGAGCACGGATTGTCGGAGAGGCAGTTCGGATTCCGGAAAGGGAGATCGACGGTGGATGCAATTCGGACAGTGGTCGAGAGAGCTGAAAAGGCGTCCAAACAGAAGCGGAGAGGAGATCGATATTGCGCCGTCATAACGATCGACGTCAAGAATGCGTTCAACAGCGCCAGCTGGGAGGCCATCGCCGAAGCACTGCATAGAATGAGGGTCCCTGACTACCTGTGCAGGATCCTGAGGAGTTATTTCCAGAACCGGGTTCTGGTCTACGAGACAGACATGGGACAGAGATCGATTAGGATCACAGCGGGAGTTCCACAAGGCTCCATCCTTGGTCCAACGCTCTGGAACGGGATGTACAACGGCGTGCTAACGCTGAAACTGCCCAAAGGAGTTGAGATCGTTGGCTTTGCGGACGACGTCGTCTTGACGGTAACAGGCGAGACGCTGGAAGAGGTGGAAGTGTTGTCAACCGAGGCAATCGACATGATTGGTAACTGGATGAAAGGAGCGAAGCTGCAAATAGCCCACCACAAAACGGAAGTGTTATTGGTCAGTAACTGTGAAGCGGTACAGCGGGCGGAAATCACCGTCGGGGAGCACACCATAGCCTCGAAGCGTGTGTTAAAATACCTGGGAGTGATGATCGATGACCGGCTAAACTTCAACAGCCACGTCGAATATGCCTGTGAGAAGGCTTCGAAGGCCATCAACGCGATAGCTAGAATCATGCCGAACAACGCTGGTCCCAGCAGTAGCAAGAGGCGTCTTCTGGCCAGCGTGTCATCATCGATACTGAGATATGGAGGTCCAGCCTGGGTTCCAGCGCTGGAAACGAAGCAGAACCAAAGGAAACTGAGCAGTACGTTCCGGCTCATGGCCATGCGAGTCGTGAGTGCGTACAGAACCATCTCGTCGGAAGCAGTATGCGTTATCGCCGGTATGATCCCTATCGGCATCACCCTGGCGGAGGACAGTGAGTGCTACAGGCAGAGAGAAGCCGGAAGAGTACGGAAAGTTGTGAGAGTGGAGTCATTGGCTAAGTGGCAACAGGAGTGGAACACGACGGAGAACGGTAGATGGACACATAGACTAATACCGATTCTTTCGACCTGGGTGAACAGAAAACACGGAGAAGTCAATTTCCACCTAACGCAGTTCCTGTCTGGCCACGGCTGCTTCAGGAAATACCTGCATCGGTTCGGACACGCAGCGTCACCCCTCTGTCCGGAGTGTGGCAACGTCGATGAAACGCCGGAGCATGTGGTCTTTGACTGTCCAAGGTTCGAGGCAGTGCGAACGGAGATGCCCGTCCTTAACGTGGAGAATGTCGTCGATGAAATGTGTCGAGAGGAGGACTCTTGGAATGCCGTCAGCAGGGCAGTCACACAGATTATGTCAGAGCTGCAGCGTAAATGGAGAGAAGAGCAGCGATCTAGCAACGCCAGCTAGCGCTGAGAGTACGACAAGTGCATGAGCACAGCCACCCCCCGAAGTAGTCGCTTCACAGTGGTCCCGGGGGGATCCAGGCAGAGGAGAGAGTAAGGAATGGGAGCTGCACTAGGCAACTAGTGGATACCACACCGTCCCACCTTCACTACAGGCCAGGCTTCTTGAAGCTTTCCTAAACCTTACTATAAAAAAAAAAAAAAAAAAAAAAAAAAAAAAAAAAAAAAAGCACACACACACACACACACACACACACACACACACACACACACACACACACACACACACACACACACACAACGGCGCTCTGACATGCAGAGTAAGCTCGACGACCTTGTGGAACGCTCCTCTGAAGCAGGTCTAACCATATCAACGTCAACAAGACCAAATCGTTGGTCACGGAAAACCGTTCCAATTTCACGGTAGCTGGGCAGGCAGTGGAGAAAGTCGAAAGCTTCCAATATCTTGGCAGCCAGATAGCGTCGGTCGGCGGCACCAAGAGCGACACAGGTGCACGGATTAAGAAGGCGAGGGCTGCTTTTGCCAGTTTGCAAAATGTATAGAGAGCAAATCAGATCAGTCGACGCACCAAAATCCGAATTTTTAACACGAACGTGAAGTCTGTGCTGTTATACGCCAGTAAAACATGGTGTGTATCAGCGGAGAACACTCAGAAGCTGCAGGTGTTTATCAACCGATGCCTGCGGTACATAATTCGTGCCTGGTGGCCCCACAATTGGATCTCAAATTCCGAGTTTCATCGTTTGTGCCATCAGAAGCCGATATAGACAGAAATTCGTGAACGGAAGTGGAGGTGGGTCGGCCACACACTACGACGGAGCGGAAACGAAATCTGCAAGCAAGCACTGGACTGGAATCCAGCAGGACATCGCAGCAGAGGCAGACCTAGAGGCTCGTGGCGGCGGAGCCTAAACAGTGAAATTAAGAACGTTGACCGAAACTTGACTTGGGCACAGGTCAAGGCCAAAGCTAGTAATCGCCCAGGATGGAAATCTTTCACAAAGGCCCTTTGCACCCCTGGAGGTGCGCAGGATCGTTAAGTAAGTAAGTAATATGTCTCTTCAAAAATACAGATGGAACTCCATCAGGTCCAGGATTGAAGGATGACTTGAGCAGAGTCGCGGCCTTAGAAATCATCTCAGCATTAACATCAATTGCACCCAGCGTTTGATCATTTACTGGAACGCTCCTGGCAGCCAGGTTAATATGGTCGTCAGTTAGTATCTCATTAGTGAATACACTGGCAACCTTTTCGGAAAAAAGGTGGCATATATCCTGAACGGTGGTAGCAACTTCTCCGTTGAATTCCATAGACGATGGGAGGCCGAATTTCCTGCGTTGCTCGTTCACGTAGTTCCAACGTCATCTGGATCAAGGATGTTCTCCCATACCATGCTAGACAATACATCTATGATTCTACGGTGGTCAGCTTTACGGAAGTCATAAGAAACCGTAGCAGGAGAATCGACGAAATCACGCACGAGTTTGTCCTCATCAGTGACCCTCCTCTGGGTGATGTGGAACTAGCTTAGTTAGTGCAGAAGGAGCCGAGAAAATTAATGGAGCCCTGTCCTGTGTGCTCACGAAGCAGAGGTCCAAACTACGATCATTTTCGTTGACTACATGGTTAATTTGAGAAAGCGTCGCTGTGCTGTAGTTGTGGAGAAGGCTAATAGCTCCTGCGTGTAATGTAGAGCTATCAGGATCTGGATACAGGAATCCGCTATGAGATGAACTCCACGAAACGCCTGGCAGATTGAAGTCACCAAAAATGAATATCTCATCAACTGGAATGGCACTTTCGATAACTGTGAAAACTGACCGACAGTGAGTATCGATGAGTTCATTGTCCCGGACTCGATCAGGTGGAATGTACAGAGCGCATAGAAATAGTGTGCGATCACCCAGATTGATGGCTGTCTAAACCTGCTCCACATAGTTCCATGAATCGTTCTCGATGGCCTTTGCCTCCAACCCGCCACGGACAGCTACAAGGATACCTCCACCAGTAGATTTGCGGCTGTTGTTAGGACTCCGATCGCAACGAAAGACCTCGTAGTCAGGACCGAAGACTTGACTGGAAAGCGTTCGATAATCGAGCCACGTTTCGCACAGGACAATTACATCGTAGCAGCAATCCGATACAGCTAGGCGGTACTCTTCAACATCAGAATTTATTCCACCGGCGTTTTGGTAGAAGATCAGGACGTCCTGCTTGCGGCAAGACCGCACAGGGCAGTGTACTACGACGTGGCAAATAAATAAAACAGCAGAATGTGTGATTCCTTCACTACTTTTTAAATTCTTGGTGTCCCATGCACGTCTATAGCATGAGATTATGCACTTCCACCTTCAGCAAGGTGTCTTACACACTTAGAATTTTCTACCGAGATCGGCTGTGCAAATCTCGGCAAAAAAAGTTTTACTGAGATCTCAGCAAACATTTCATTTGTTTGCTGAGATTCAGCTAAGCATTATCCGAGACTCAGCAATCAAATGTCACTTTTGCTGAGATCTCAGTGGAACTTATTTTGCCGAGATTTGCACAGCCGAGCTCGGTAGAAAAAACTAAGTGTGTAAGTGATCAACGGGAGGTAAATAAATAAGAGGTCATACTTTGATTAAAAATCTATAAAATTCCTTACCAAACAAACATTGAAATATTTAGGGGCTAGAGGGGTTGTAATAACATGACGTAATTTTCAAGGGGTGGTCGAGCAATTTGTTACAATATGTGATTATTGAAATCCCTCAGTAGATCTTGTTTTCAGTAAAAAAAACTTACATATATGATCGTATCCTTCCAGGCATCATCCTGAACGGCGAGCGGATACCGGACCATCTTCTGCTGCATGAGGATCTGGACCATGAATCGGTCGAAGTGAGTCGCATCGTCAAAAAGGCCGATCCCGGCTTCAACATCGACGATTCCCGGCAGCCGTTTGTTTGCGGTAACAGTTCGATGATTCCTCCGGATCCGAAGAAAACCTACGGTCATTTTGTGAGAAAGATCATCGTTCAAAGTGAGTGACAAAACATCGTTTTTTTTTTTTTTTTAATTTGACCAACTTGACCTTCCATTTTGTTCATGATCCAGATCCGATCACTAAGCTCAACGTCACTGGTCCGCAGTGGGTCCAGCAGGGTCATTCGGCCAATCTCACCTTCCAGTGCTCGGGGACGCCACCGTTCAGCTTCTGCTACAGTCTCTTCAAAGGTAATTCACGGGTTTGAGGTTATGACTGCGAATAACGAAAATCGATTTTCCGCAGGGCAACACAATCTAACCCAAAACGAAACGTGTACCAATGGATGGATATCGAAAGACGATCGCTGTAGCTTCAAGTTTACCTCGTGGTTGATCTTCAAAGAGCAGCGCTCGTTGGTAGTCTTCCTGAAAAACCGGATATCCGAGGAGGTCATTCAAGTTGGACTGCAGATCTATGAGAGTAAGTTGGCACATGTGCGACATAAATGGCAGCCCCAAACACCCGGCTAATCTGACACGTTTTTCACAGATCAACCCAAATCCCAGCTATCGGTCATCGTAGTCCCCATTGGGTTTTGCCTGCTGGCGGTAATTCTGGTGGTCTTTGGCGTGGCCTATTACATCCAGAATCGGGAACGCTTCATCATCGAGGTGGCCGATTTCAACTTTGGCGATACGAATTCGCTGGATGACGACATGGAGTACAAGACGTTCCAACAGCGGCTGCTGGACAGTATGCGGGATTCGTTCAGACTGCCACGGTTTCGCCTGGGGTCCAGTGGGGCCAGCCACGACGGTGACGACATGTCTCCGTCGGCGGTGGGCGATAGTTCGCTGCGGTACGGTTCGATGACCTAGGTCGGCGGTAGATGCAGGTTTGAATCGTTGTTTTCCATTTTACTTTGAAGGAATTACTGAGTGATTGGCAGAGTTTTGTTTTGAAATAGGGTCCTCCACCGGGATCTCTAATGTATTAGTGTGATGGCTTTTCTTGTATTTTCCGGCCACTTGATGAGCGAGCAGGTGTGCAATAGAATTTGGATTAATAAGACGCGAGAGGTTTTGGAACACGTGAATCGTTTAGTGATCGTAGGCGAAGTCTTGCATATCTCACCTCTGGTATCCGATTATGGTTAGTAACTGCCCTGCCCATACAAACATAATCTATGTACTAGGTATCTATTATTATTATGAGCAATAACCTTTCAGGAATAGCGGCATCCTGTAGCCAAGATGCTGCTTGCATGGCCAATGAGAATAACCCAGAGAAAGAGTCATTCCTACACAGTTGTATGAGAATTTTCTAAAAACTGCAAGACTCACCGCTGAGTTCTTGGGTTTTTATCTATAGAAGAAGTGTCTCTATGTCTCTGAGTTATTCTCATTGGTCATGTGGTTTAGGTTTACATGCAATTCTGACAGCATTTCATGCACGTAATGTATCAATTGGTCGAACATGCTCCTAGGCATTTGTGTGTCCAACAGGCTCAACAGGTAAGCTTCGAAATGTATGCAATCAATGCACCAGTGTTGACGGTTGCACCTACGATCGTTGTCTGCTCCGCGCCCAATTTCCAGATGTAGGGAAAACGCTGGTCAATTCCAGCTTTTGTTTGAGCTATGGACCATTTGGCAGAAGCCTAGCTCTGAGTTCCGCGGAGTTGATGCTTCGAAGTTTTGAGCTCGATTCTGACTTCTGAGAATCCTTTTTAACCCTTTCCCGTCCAGAGTGTAACCAATTTTAAAAACCATTATCTCTGGAGTGTCTTGAGATATTGGCCTGGATTTTCTTCCGATAATAGAAGAACTGAAGGTTGAACGCGGAAAAATTCGGACCCATTAAAAAAGCTGCCATTAATGCATTTTTTGAGTAACATTTTACAGAATTTCACTGAATCAAGCTAAGAGTGTATAGAATCACAGTAGGCATTGGTTGTCAGAATAAGTTATTTTTTTCACATCATGGCTTCACCGGTGCAAGCACGTCGCGATTCGATCCTGCACGCTCGAAACGAAAATCCCGGTTGATCCGCTCCTGGCAGTTTTCGATAAAATTCCTGGGCAGGAATTTTTTACCTCGGTTGACCGGAAGAATGTTAAATCAAAAAGAAATCGAGATTTCCCAAAAAGTTCCTTGTCTGGCAAGTAATCTACAGTTTGTAGACTGAAAAGCGAAACTTTCGTTACTTCTGGAACCATGAACCAGCAAATTTACCACAAGGAGTGCCTACGGAAGAGACCGCCGCCTTTTCTGGAGCAACATGAGGTGGATTGCCTATTCTTACCAGAATTGGCAAGCTGCCACTACTCAAAATCCACCCAACAGTGGTACAGCAAAAATGGCGTCACAGTGGTTCCCAAGGAGATGAATCCGGCCAATACCCCGAAACTAAAGCCAATTGAGAAATACTGGTCAATTGTGATGCACATACTGAAGAAAAAGAGTAGAACTGCAATTGACCTGAAGGATTTCAAGCGGAAATGGAATTTGGTAGTTAAACAGTGGGAACAGGGCTCATGTCAAAGATGATGGACCGTGTACGAAGAAAAGTTCGAGCAATGGCCTATGCTAGGAAACAAGACTGAAACAATGGTCTTACAATAAGCATAATACCTACTAATGTAAAGCTGGTACATTGAACTATGAAAAATAAAACGCATTTAATCACCATCAAAATTTTAGTGTCCGGATTTTTTCGTATTAAACCTCAATATTTTTTTTAAATCGGTTGCAATTTTAGAAAGTTGTAGCCTACAATTTCAAAAAAGGCATGAAGCTTCAGTGTCACCACGGGCAAATGGTATTCTAGGAGACTCGTAATGAAGATTCTGAGGAATCCCAGGTTGAAAAAAAAACTCAAACTGTATTCCAAACTGTTACCTTGTGGAAGGATTCTGATCTGGATATTGAATAATGCCAAAGCCAGTGGAATCCTTGGTGAAACTCTTGATCACTTTTGGCAGGATTCTATGCAATTTCGGATTTGATTATCCGGAATCACTGAAAGGGGTTCAGGATTGCCAGGTGGTTTCTTGTGGTATTCTATGGAGTCTCAGACGACATTCTACAAAATTCTAAGTGTGATTCCAAACAGTTTCGGGTGGGATTCTGGAGATTCCTAGGTGAATACTCACCATTAGATCAACTAACTCGTCTTATAAGTTTTTTAGAATCCCGCCTAAGATTTCTAGCATGTTATCTCATGCACTATTCTTTGAATTTCATTGTGTATCATCGTTCAAGCATTTAACGGTTGATTTGAATATTATCAGTTCCGCGAACTACTCGCCGCAGCGCTGGCATCGGATCACTTTGACGTTTCTATACATTCTATAGAACTTTTATGCAATATTGTTTGCGAGTTAGCGAGCAAGCTTGTTTTCCGCGAGAAGTCCGAGAGATGTCGCTACTGAGGTCCTATGTTTTAAGATATTATGTTTTCAAGAAAAACTTTTTCAAAGAGTTACGTCTGTTTGTCTGTGGAGAAACTAAGACGAGTGTCTGAGGAACACTACTTACACTAAACTCTACCTGGATATGGATATTAAGGAATCCTACTGTGTTACCTGACTCATAACGAATATACTTTGTATCCGCGGTCCCTCGGATACAACTTTAGACGAGTTCATTTTCCACCGGATACAACGTATATTCGCTATGAGACAGGTAAGACAGTAGACAAAATTCCAAGGAATCCTAAGTAGACATATTTTTTATTCAGAACATTATGGAGTCCTTAGAATCCCACCAGGTAGTGTTCCAAAAGGGATTCGTCCCTGGCGGGATTCTGAGTATCTCACATAGATCTCAGGTGGGATGTAGATGGCCAAAGGTCGAACGACAAAAGGTTGAAGGGTAAAAGGTTAAAAGACAGAAGATCGTTGGAAAATAGGACGAATATACAAAAGGTCGAATGGACAAATTCCAAGGGACAAAAAGTCGAATGGTCAAAAGGATGGTACACAGGTATATTGAGGTCAAGGCCACCAGTCAATCTAACTGAACTGCTTGAAAGCTATTTCTCAATCTTGAAGTTGACTCCTTCCCAGACGGGATTCTCAGCAATCCCAGACGGGATTCTCATGAATCCCAGACGGGATTTTCAACAAACTCAGACGGGATTCTCAGCAATCCCAGACGGAATTCTCAGCAATCCAAGACGAGATCCTCAGCAATCCCAGACGGGATTCTCAGCAATCCAAGACGGGATTCTCAGCTATCCCAGAGGGGATTCTCAGCAACCCAATACGGGACTCTTAGCAATCCCAGACGGGATTCTTAGTAATCCCAGACGAGATTCTCAGCAATCCCAGACGGGATTCTCAGCAATCCCAGACGGGATTCTCAGCAATCCCAGACGGGATTCTCATGAATCCCAGACGGGATTTTCAACAAACTCAGACGGGATTCTCAGCAATCCCAGACGGAATTCTCAGCAATCCAAGACGAGATCCTCAGCAATCCCAGACGGGATTCTCAGCAATCCAAGACGGGATTCTCAGCTATCCCAGAGGGGATTCTCAGCAACCCAATACGGGACTCTTAGCAATCCCAGACGGGATTCTTAGTAATCCCAGACGAGATTCTCAGCAATCCCAGACGGGATTCTCAGCAATCCCAGACGGGATTCTCAGCAATCCCAGACGGGATTCTCAGCTATCCCAGAGGGGATTCTCAGCAATCCAAGACGGGACTCTTAGCAATCCCAGACGGGATTCTTAGCAATCCCAGACGAAATTCTCAGTAATCCCAGACGAGATTCAAAGCAATCTACAGACGGGATTCTCAGCAATCACAGACGGGATTCTCAGCAATCCAAGACGGGACTCTGAGCAATGCAAGACGGAATTCTCAGCAATCCCAGACGAAACTCTGAGCAATGCAAGACGGAATTCTCAGCAATCCCAGACGGGATTCTCAGCAATCCCAGACGAGATTCTCAGCAATCCTAGACGGGATTCTCAGCAATCCTAGACGGGTTTCTCAGCAATCCCAGACGGGATTCTCAGCAATCCCAGACGGGATTCTCAGCTATCCCAGAGGGGATTCTCAGCAATCCAAGACGGGACTCTTAACAATCCCAGACGGGATTCTTAGCAATCCCAGACGGGATTCTTAGCAATCCCACACGAGATTCTCAGTAATCCTAGACGGGATTCTCAGCAATGCAAGACGGAATTCTTAGCAATCCCAGAAGAGATTCCCAGCAATCCTAGACGGGATTCTCAGCAATGCAAGACGGAATTCTCAGCAATCCCAGACGGGATTCTCAGCAATCCCAGACGAGATTCTCAGCAATCCTAGACGGGATTCTCAGCAATCCCAGACGGGATTCTAAGCAATCCTAGACGGGACTCTCAGCAATCCCAGACGGGATTCTCAGCAATCCCAGACGGGATTCTCAGCAACCCAAGACGGGACTCTTAGCAATCCCAGACGGGATTCTTAGTAATCCCAGAGGAGATTCTCAGTAATCCCAGACGGGATTCTCAGCAATCCCAGACGGGATTCTCAGTAATCCCAGACAGGATTCTCAGCAATCCCAGACGGGACTCTGAGCAATGCAAGACGGAATTCTCAGCAATCCCAGACGGGATTCTCAGCAATTCAAGACGGAATTTTCAGCAATCCCAATTGAGATTCTCAAGAATCCCAGACGGGATTTAAAGCAATCCCAGAAGGGATTCTCAGCAATCACAGACGGAATTCTCAGCAATGCCACACGGGATTATCAGCAATCACAGACGGGATTATCAGCAATCCCAGACGGGATTCTCAGCTATCCCAGACGGGACTCTCAGCAATCCCATACGGGATTCTTAGCAATCCCAGAGGGGATTCTCAGCAACCCAAGACGGGACTCTTAGCAATCCCAGACGGGATTCTTAGCAATCCCAGACGAGATTCTCAGTAATCCCAGACGAGATTCAAAGCAATCTACAGGCGGGATTCTCAGCAATGCAAGACGGAATTCTCAGCAATCCCAGACGGGATTCTCAGCAATCACAGACGAGATTATCAGCAATCCCAGACGGGATTCTCAGCTATCCCAGACGGGACTCTCAGCAATCCCAGACGGGATTCTTAGCAATCCCAGAGGGGATTCTCAGCAATCCAAGACGGGACTCTTAGCAATCCCAGACGGGATTCTTAGCAATTCCAGACGAGATTCTCAGTAATCCCAGACGAGATCCAAAGCAATCTACAGACGGGATTCTCAGCAATGCAAGACGGAATTCTCAGCAATCCCAGACGGGATTCTCAGCAATTCAAGACGGAATTCTCAGCAATCCCAATTGAGATTCTCAAGAATCCCAGACGGGATTCAAAGCAATCCCAGAAGGGATTCTCAGCAATCACAGACGGAATTCTCAGCAATCACAGACGGGATTATCAGCAATCCTAGACGGGATTCTCAGCTATCCCAGACGGGACTCTCAGCAATCCTAGACGAGATTCTTAGCAATCCCAGAGGGGATTCTCAGCAATCCAAGACGGAACTCTCAGTAATCCCAGACGGGATTCTCAGCAATCCAAGACGGTATTCTCAGCAATCCCAGACGGGACTCTCAGCAATCCCAGACGAGATTCTCAATAATCCCAGACGGGATTCAAAGCAATCCCAGAATGGACTTTCAGCAATCCCAGACGGGATTCTCAGTAATCCTAGACGGGATTCTCAGCAATACCAGACGGTATTCTCAGCAATCCCAGGCGGTATTCTCAGCAATCCCAGACGAGACATTCAGGAATTCCAGACAAGATTCTCAGCAATCCCAGACGAGATTCTCAGGAATCCCAGACGGGAATATTTGAAAACTTTATCCAGCTTTCCATGCTTGGTAATGGCGGCCTATTTGTATGAATAAATGCATCCTTCACTGTGCTTTTTCGCACTATCTGGAGGTTCGAATTTTGACCTTACCCTTTCCGTCTCCCAGAAACAGAAGAAAATGGAACAACATACGCCAGTTAGTGTCAAAAAGCACAGTGAAAGATACATTTATTCATACAAACAGGCCGCCATTACCGAGCATTGAAAGCTGGATAGAAGACATAAAATCCACGAAGACTGGATTCTAGGGAATTCCAAACGGTAGTCTAAGGGATTCTAGGGAATCCAAAACGGAAGGATTTGATTTGATTCTCTAGAAAGATGTATAATCAGCTTAAATTCTAAGCGATGCTTCAACGAACTGAGTAAAATTTGTCCATAACCTCAACTTGCAATAATCAAAACATTAGTGGAGAAATCCAGTGCTGCAACTTTAGACAGATGGAAGCAATGACCACCAATCCAACATAATTCTAATTACATCACTACCACCCATCCGTTATTCAATAAGAACATATCTGAGCAATGGAAATACACTGAACATAACCATCAACTTGTATTAGAAACCAATTGCTAACAATAGTAATTGGCATATCTAGGAACGGGAACCGTAGATAGGTAATAAATGTTTTTCCTTAATTAAATAGAATACTTTCTGTCACAGACGAACTGACGCAGCTCTATGATCTCTCAAGCTTCATATTAGAAGCCTTCGAACGAAAATTCCCATCCGCTTTGTTTGTGATTCAAAAGGATTAAACGTAAATGCCAGAGTGCTCTGTTCAATGATTCGTAAAATAACAATACAGCCTTACACCTATTGAAATTGCCCATTTTATTGTGCGAGCCTTACGCCAGTTTGTCTGTGACAGCAGTACACAAACACAAATATCCGAAATTGAACTTCGCCATTTGCCGCCTCTCGCACAATAGTATTTTCACAGATAAACAGACATATCGCATTGAATATTTTTCACTGTAAAACATCGTCGCTAAAACACTACCGCCATCTGTTGATTTCACTGTCATAGGCAGTCCACTCAACAGATGGCGGTAGTGTGTAAACGTCAAACTCAAGGAATTTGACTGTGCGCGTGGTACTACAACTAGGATAAAATTTAAATTGACCGTTAAATGCGTGTTCGATGAACAATACGCAAGAGTTATGCCTGTTTGTCTGTGATATTTTCATTGTTTCTGTGTGTCCCACTAATTGTTTAACGTAATTCAAAATCGAAAACTGTTTCAAGCCATCAAAAACATCCGTGTCTCGAAATCTGTCAGCCAAGATAGTAAACAAGAAAAAAAAATTAAGACTGTTTTCGCGGAAGAACGGAAGCAACCGCTCGCAGTAAGAAGAGGAGAGCGTCCAATGAATGAAAATTAAAAGAGTCGATTCCAAATTTAGCGAAACCTAAGATGATGTTTGCATGACATCGTGATCTGAAATGTATACATTTTTCGCTTGTTTTATTTACCTTTAGTTTTTGATAATTTTAATATCGCTTATCCTTTGTTCTAAAGTTAATATCATATTTTATATATATCGATAAACTGATCCTACATAATTAATTCAAATGTGATATCCATATATGATTGAAAGGATGAAATCTATAACGTCTATATATTTTTACATAATATTTTAAACTTCATTGGTTGAACGTTGCAGATTTTCGTATTCGCTGCGTTTTATTTGAAGAACTTATGAATACGAGTGTACATACTATTTCTTATTATGATTAGCTACAAATAACACAAATAAGTATGGCTACCTGTTGAGTATAATCACTGTGTGAAGAAAAAGTCACAAATCGGAAAAATTTATAGTGTAGTTAAATCTATCGCAAAACAGAGTCTAGAAACAATATGATCAAATCTATAGTTTAGGATTGTTTAAAAAAATCAAATTGGAGAAAAGTGAGCAATGCTGAATGCACACAACGTTTAAGGAACTTACTTTTAGAGTGTACAGTCACTACCGCTCACAGCACAGTGTGTAGACGAGGCAAAACTGGTACATATGTATGTAGTTCGGCACTGACATGAGAAACGGTCTTATTGCTGGAAATAACTGAAACAAAGCTTAAAGAGATGGGAGAATAAATATACATATAGAATAAATATGCATTTACGAGTGCTGATTGGGCTTCGAAATTTTCCGTGGTAAAGGATCTCACTTTTCTGTGTTCACATAAGTGCTCGATGGATCGAGTGATGCGCGTTGTCCGAGTTTTGGGGACACTCTCGAGTCCCTTTGAATCTCAAAGAGGGTTACGGTAAGATCGAGGTTAAGGTAATGGGCTTACCTGTCTGCTATTTAATACCGCTTTGGAAGGTATAACGATCCACGCACATTGCACGTTGCGGCAAAGTGACAGCCAAATCTATTATCTAACTGTCTGAGTTGCCGCAACGGGTCACCAACGGATGCAATGTGCGTGGGCCTTATTTCGAACTTTGAGACGATGGCGGAAGCCGAATTTACGGTGATGAAATCCAGGTTCGTGTATCTGGGCTCACTGATGACTGTCGATAATGACACCAGCAGAGAAATCCAAAGACGCATTATGGCAGGAAACCGTGCTTACATTGACCGGTAGATGGTATCTACGGTGGAGTGTAG